TAGCCGCATAAACGAATGCATAAAGGAAATCATCCAATCGCATTTTACGTGCGTCTTTATAGGAGAAATGCGATTGGATAATTTTCTTTATGCATACGTTTGTGTGTATACCCTAACAGCACAGACTCTTAAGCGGGGTCTACAATAGAAGTCGTAACGGTCGTAGGGTCTTAAGTCGTAGAAAATTGACCAATCATAGTCGATTATTCTTCTCATATTCGATTGCGATTGATTAATTCTTTACGACTTAAGACTCTACGGCCGCTACGACTTCTATTGTAGACCCCGTATTATGCGTCGTCTACAATACATGGAGTAAAGCGGGGTCTACAATAGAAGACGTAGCAGTCGTAGAGTCTTAGGTCATAGAAAATTAACCAATCACAGTAGAATATGAGAAGAATAATCGACTATGATTGGTCAATTTTATACAACTTAGGACCCTACGACTGCTACGACTTCTATTGTAGACCCCGCATAAGAAGTAAGTAAGAAATTGACCAGTCACAGTCAATTATTCTTCTCACATTCGACTGTGATTGGACAATTTCTTACTCTTACTTCTTAAACCAAGCTTACTTCGCATATTGTAGACGACGCATACAGCCCATTACAATGATAGTAAGCAGTACGATGTAAAAAGTTCTTGCACGCCTTAACGAGCTTTTTTCGTGCCTTATCTCATAATAAGCTTTGATTATCTAGCAGTAAAGTAATAAGGCGTACGAAATGCGAATAACCCATTTCTCTTATTCCCGGTCTTAATGCTTTATGTCATATTTTGCTCCCCCTTACGACAGTCTAAAGCGGGGAGGACAGACTCTTGCATAACGCATAACACATGAGGCATAAGAAAATCAACCAATCAGAGTCTTTTATTTCACGGAAAGGACGGAAATAAAGGACTTTGATTGGTTTATTGTCTTATGTATTGTGTGTTATGCGTTATGCAAGAGTCTGTGCTCCCCGTCTTACTATTGCATTGTAGAATGGGCTTTACATAACGTACAATGCATAGTACGTAAGGGAATCAATCGAAATTCTTCTTTTTTATAGAATGG